AAATTCAAATGATTGATCATTCAGTATATACTATATATTATACTCTTATTTGTTGATACCTATCATGCGAATAAAGATTTTTATAGACGAGTTACGTTTCATCCTGCAACCAGTTAACAGGAATATAGGAATGTAGAGAATTCTCGAATCAGGTCCAATCCTTTATTTAGGAACTTAACGTGTGTGGCAGTGGTGGAAGAATACGGTGTAGCCAGATATGAACATTGGTGAACATAGCATCCTCTAAATCCCGCGAAATGGTGCCACACACACAATTTACAACCTTTTGTGCTGTTATATCCTGGTGTAATTGGTCCATACTTATGCCTAATAAATGATGATGTCAACTCCCACTATGCTAAAATAATCCACACAATTCTTGAAGAATAGCAGAAGATTGATCGAAGAAAGTAGCCTGCACGATCATGGATACTACTGGAATACAAGTTATTTCACTTTACTCCCACCGAGAAAACACGAGATACTACTGGAAAATTAGTTATTCCACTTTAATTCCACTGAGAAAGCATAGGATACTGCTAGAAAATGAGTTATTCCTCTTTAATTCTACTGAGAAAGCATAGGATACTGCTAGAAAATGAGTTATTCCACTTTAATTCTACTGAGAAAGCATAGGATACTGCTAGAAAATGAGTTATTCCACTTTAATTCCACTGAGAAAGCATAGGATACTGCTAGAAAATGAGTTATTCCACTTTAATTCCACTGAGAAAACATAGGATACTGCTAGAAAATGAGTTATTCCACTTTAATTCTACTGAGAAAACACGAGATACTGCTGGAAGACAAGTGATTCCACTTTAATCCCATCGAGCAAGCATGGGATGCTACTGGAAGACAAGTGATTCCAGACACTAAAGATGCTCTGGAATGGTTGAGGATATATTAGAACATTAAGTATACTTCGAGTTTCAAACTTCGCTATCTGTGTCCTTGTTATTCATGAAATACATACCCCATATTGCAGTAAAATGTCATAAATTCCAAAGATGTAAAGTATCCTCTACCAAAATGTTCATTTACGAACAGCGTAAGCTGAGAAACCAATCATTTTTATTTCAGGTCACATGATGGATCATCAGATTCCACACTTGTAAAACAACTAACTGAAAGTAGATATTTTATAACAGCAACTCCATTGTCAGGGCTTAAACATTACAACTTCCACTTATTCTTTAATTACTTTATTCGGTATTTAACAGTAAGTCTGAATAGTGCTATTAAACCGGTTTGTGCATACTAGTGCTGATTGGACTTAATAACACCCGGTGCTCAACCATAAGTCTGAATAATATCCTTAAACCGATTTGAACTTACTAGTACTGATCAGACTTTGTAACACTATATTATTCGATGTTTTATCCAGTGTACAACAATCTGTGTGAATAGTGCTATTAAACCGGCTTGTATTAAATAATACTGATTAGACTTAGTAACATTATATTATTAGATAATTTACACGGTGTACAACAATAAGTCTGAATAATGTTATTAAACCGGTTTGTACTTACTAGTTCTGATGTGACTTAGTAACACTCAATGTTCAACAATAAATCTAAAGAGTGTTATTAAACCGGTTTGTACTTACTAGTTCTGATCTGACGTAGTATCACTCAATGCTCAACAATAAGTCTAAAGAGTGTTATTAAACCGGTTTGTACTTATTAGCTCTGATCAGACTTAGTAACACTCAATGTTCAACAATAAGTCTAAAGAGTTTTATTAAACCGATTTGTAGTTACTAATACTGATTAGACTTATTAACACTATATTGTTGGATAACTTATCTACTGTACAACAATAAGTCCGATTAATGTTATTAAACTGATTTGTACTTACTAGTGCTGATCAGACTCAGTAATATCCAATGTTTAAAAATAAGTATGAATAGTGTTATTAAACCGGTTTGTACTACTAAGTACTGATGAAACACTATATTATCCAATATTTTATCCAGTTTACAACAATAAGTTTGAATAATGTTATTAAATCGTTTTGTATTTATTAGTACTGATCAGACTTAGTAACACTATATTATTCCATATTTCATCCAGTGTACAATAATAAATCTAAATAGGGTTACTAAACCACTTTGTATTTACTAGTACTGATAAAACTTAGTGACTCTATATTATTCGATATTTCATCCAGTCTACAACAATAAATCTGAATAATATTATTAAACCGGTTTGTACTTATTAGTGCTGATCAGACGTAGTAACACTCGGTGTTCAACAATAAATCTAAAGAGTGTTATTAAACCGGTTTGTTCTTACTACACTTATTAGTACTGTATTATTGGATAATTTATCCAGTGTACGACAATAAGTCTGAATAGTGTTAGTAAACAGGTTTGTACTTATTAGTACTGATTAAATTTACTAACATTATATTATTCAGTATTTTATCCAAATTTACAACCACAAGTCTGAATAGTTCTTAAACCAGTTTGTATTTACTAGTACTGAATAGACTATCTTCTTCGAAGTTTTTTCGATAGTTTGAAACCGCTGTTATTCACTTAAGTCACGCTATCTAAACGGACACTGCTTTTTTTTATCACAAACCACTATAACATATTTTTCCAGCGCTTAAAAGACTTTGGTTAATGATACATCATCTCGAAAGCAAACTTTTCAGACACAATCCTAATGGAATTATTATTAATATGATTGTTTTCTTTCGCTACTTCAAACACAGCTTTATTTCAATGTGAGTAGATTTATCAGAATGTATAGAATGGTTTATCAAGAATCGTACATCTTAAATGCATACCACACTATGTTCTAATGGTGAGCTGTATAATTTGCTACAAAAAATGTGTCATACAGCCCTAAGGCCTATTAATGCAGTCTAAATGAAATATATCTTTAGATGCTTAAATTGTACTTTTAAAGTAATGTTGTAACGTATTTTACCATTGTACTGATTCTTTTGGATCATTTGGTAAAAATAACGGTAAGTTCAGTCCACGAAATGATAACAAAACTATTTATATTTTCAACAAATGTTTACTACACCAAGATTCATTTGTACTGTTGTAAGCCTAATATCAAGTACAAAAACTTCGAAAAGAATGTGGCCTCAGTTATGACTTAATTGTAGAATTCCAGGGCTAATCGATCGAGTAACTGAATAACGGAATTGACGTGATATTTCTCATTTCTAACACTGAATAGCCTGTCTGAAACTGAACCAACCGAACTCACTTGGAACTGAGTCACTAACTGAATACTCTTTGCCTCCACACTGAACTGAGTAACTTCCACTGAATCACAAAACTAACCCAATCATTACTCATTGATTCATTGCTTAACTTAATAACTGACTGACACTAAAGTAACTGAACTCGTCACTGAATACTCTTACTTACATCGTACCTTTGTTTCTACAAATAACATGAATCTTTTCGATTCTTAACTTTCATGAACTTCCAGATCTTAACACCATACGCCCTCTAGCAAACATTTAAATTAAAAAATTAAAAATATATCTTACAACAATAATTTCTAGCGTTTTATTTTACGAATGCAAAGTTAATAATAACCCATTTCGCTCGAATGTATAATATTTAGTCTTTGAACGTTGTTTATATAACTTCATTTATTTTTAATTATTATTAAGATTCCTGTGTCTGGAGTTTGATTTTAACGTTCGAAACGTGCTTGAAAAGAATGGTGTTAGTCTGTTGGCATAAAATAGCACATAGTTAGGATGTTTTCCCTCATAGAAGCATGGAGTGCTTTGGCCTGATTGTGTAAAGATTCTTTTCAGACTTTAAACACTGTTATCTTGCACTGTTTGAAACTGTGTGATCCTGTTTTGGTAATTTTCCTTAAAATCGATATAAAAATTAAATTTTTATGTATTAATCATTTCTGCATTGGCAATAGTAGGTTTATGAGTCAAGAAATTATTTAGTTACTTGTAATAGTAGGTTTATGTATCAGGAAAGCGTTACGTTATTTACAATAGTAAGTTTATGTGCCAGGAAAATATTTAGTTACTTGTAATGATAGGTTTATGTATCAAGAAAGTATTTAGTTACTTGTAATAGCAGGTTTATGTATCAGGAAAGTGTTTCGTTATTTACAATAGTAAGTTTATGTGCCAGGAAAATATTTAGTTACTTGTAATGATAGGTTTATGTATCAGGAAAGTATTTAGTTACTTCTAATAGCAGGTTTATGTATCAGGAAAGCGTTGCGTTATTTACAATAGTTGGTTTGTGTGTCAGGAAACTGTTTGGTTATTTGAAAAAGCAGGTTAATGTTTATTTTGAGCAATAAAATAACAGTATTTTGATTTTCACAAAATACTTCATACAGAACTAGTAAGTATTAATAAGAAATGTATCATGTAATTTGTTTTAACCTGGAGATCATAACTTGTTCAAATGGTCTAATTAATGCTGAATATTTTAGTACATAATATTACTTTAGGCACTTAATCTCGCTAAGCCCCTGTCATTAAGAACCTGGTGTTCCTGGTGCCTCAGCGGTAAGTCTGAGAACTTATAGCGATAAGATTTAGGTTTCGATACCCGTAATGGTAAGAGCACAAACAGCCTATTGTGTAGCTTTGTGTTTAACAGCAACAAATTAACAAGAATTTGGCAACATATATTTTTGCATCTGACTATCTGATAGAATGAAAAACATGTCCATGAAATGAGCAATTAATGAATATTGAAAATGTATAGAGCATTGTGTTGTGAACGCCGTAAGTGATGTGAAGATTATCAGTGATATGAAAGGTTACTAATGGTAATAGGGTGAACCGTGGTATGAAGTTCTCAGTGATAATAATATTTTGGATAATTAAAAGAAAATAATATATTATTTTATTGAGGTTTTTCTATCAGATTTCTTGGAAGAGCTATATAATGACAGTAGGTCACAATTCTGTAATAAACAATATTTAATCTTCAAATAAATTTGAATGAGATTATTTTTATAGTAATTGAAACTTGAACTTACCAGACGAAACGGCTGTTATCAAAGTAAGCAACAAGATTATTACGTCGAAAACACAGTGTTTGCTCTGATAGTCTCTTCTAGATGGAATGTGTCTTGATAGGTGTAGAACTGGCGACCACAGCTTCATTGCTAGAGCCCCGGAAATAGAGTTCTATATAACAACTGGTACGTGACGTCTTCCAAATTTCTTTTTATTAAAATAAACATAGAAGATTATTACAAATATGTTTGATACCTTAACGAGCATTTACATAATTTTATATTCCAAGATTTCCACAAAATTTGAGCGTATTTCTAGACGACTTTAATTTTATATCTGATTTCATGATAATCAAAAACAACATTAATTACACAAAAGTAAAAAACAAATATTTTTTCCAGGTATTGTTCTTCATTAAGTTATTTATTTAATTTCGTGAACTAGTTTTATTTAGTGTTTTTGAAGTTTATTTTGAAGATTTGTTTTAAGTGAGAGCTCATCTAAAAATTCGTGATTTTTCAGCATAAAAGTAATTTTTTTAATTTGATGAAATTATTACTTTTTGTAACTTAAGTAGATGTTTTTGTTGTTTTTTATCTCAATGTTTAGTTGTCTCAGATAGGTAAAGTACTAGCTTGACATATGTTCGAAATTGACTTTGCTGGATAAAACAACGTCAAAGAATTTTGTAAGTAAATAACAATACTTTATTGTTATATTTTAAAAGTAATGCAAAATTTATTTTCATCACTACGTTTTACAATATTCTTAGATACGTTGCATAATTTTTGTTTTTAAAATCGATTTTGAGTTCATCATTAAAGGTGAATCACAGCATATTTCAGCTTTTTGACTACTTTCTCTTCCTTCGTTTATCGCACTTTTCTTGTTTGTGAGAACCTACAGCTCACGGAATGGGTTTATCCTCATCCCACGATAATTATATAGATAGGCTCTATTCCAGATTGCTTGTAAACTAACAGTGTTCCATTTAATGTATCAACAAAAACTCAATCGAATTATTAACGTCTTGTTCCTCTTTATCTTTCCTCTATTTTTATTCCAATACCTGCAACTCGTAAGTAACTGATCAAGACGTCGCATTTTTTACAAGACCCATCAATCTTCTATACGAGTTCGAGGCAAGCAAATGTATAGTAAGAATAATACTTGTAGATAGCGGTAGCAACTACTACATGTAGCTCAAAAAATCGAGATGTGTTTTTGTTTTTTTCGCGAAAATTAAGGTTTAAAATAGAGATGAAAAACACTGTTTAAAGGATAAAAAAGAGATAATGTAAAAGTGCGAGGTTTGCATGTGAAATAATAGTGACTAGACTCTACGTGTTAATTAAATATGGTAAGTGGTAAGTTTCTGTGCAAAGTCTACGTGCGAAATATACGAGGCAGGAATACAAGTCATAACTAACATTGTCAGCAATCTAGGCATTAAAAAGTGTCAGAGAAATCTAAATGTGAATTAATTAAGTACCAAATAAAACTGACGCAATCTAAGTGTTAAACACCTGTGGCAGAAATCTTCCTGTGAAATATCTGTGTCCAAAATTACACATAAATTAAGCAGATGTGTAACTTGACTAAGTTTTTGAGTGAAAAGTTGAATACCCAGCTCTACCCTTGGTGAAAGCTCGACAGATCCGGTGAAAGTCTACAAGTAAAAGTGAACTTTCAGTCCATAATGGACTTTTTTTTTAAGCTCTTGTAATACACTTTAAATGTCTTACCTTAAACGTTTTGTAGATTACTTCGAGGAGACTACACTCCTTTTTATCTTGAAAACGCAGAAAACACGCACAAGTTTGCTAAAAATGAGCAAAGCCTCTACTAGGATTTTCAGTAGCTTTTATTCTCCAAGAAAATTGTTGTACGACAGAGAAATTGGATCGAAAGTGAGGAGGTGTAAGTCGAGAAACTTGGCAAGAAAGGCAAAGCAGTTGCGTCACTTCTTGTTCAAAGCAGCCCATTTTACAGTAGAGATGTGGTCAAGATTTCTATTGTCTGAATTTGGTACATTTAATGTATTAAATTTAATAATAACCTTGAATTTTACTTCTAAGGAAAACTATATTCTACATAAAAAGTGAGAAATACCCCCAAAAAAATTTAATTATGAATTACTCCTCTAATACAGGCTTAAGCGCTTATTCTAATCCTAGTATAAACCAGAAGTTAAACAGCAGCAATATCTTTATTCTCCACATTGTAGCTGGATATTTTATAACTCTATATTTTGGTTCTTATGAGAACTAAGCCTAAATGCTGAAGTTTTATTTGCTATCTTTGACTTATAGAATTTTGTTGTGGTGCGAGTTTTCTTCAAACATAACTTTTTACAATAGCTACTGCAGTAAAGACATAGGAATATTCTATATTTTATTTTTCAATATATTGGATAGTTTAATGTGCGTTTGATTTGCTTTTGGACTACTTCCTTTACATGCCAAGTTTGATTTCAATCTGTCAACTCGTTTAGGAAATGATGCGTCCACAGACAGACAGGAAGTTTTCCATGATATTGGATAGTTACAGCACCAGTATGACTTATTTGATATGTATAGCGTATATGTTAAGAACGCCTGTATACCAATGTTTTACTCACCTCTGCCAAGCGAAGCAACGTCAGAGATGAATAAAACAGAAATAATTTTGGGGTAAAAATAACATTTTACATTTTAAATTGTGTAGAATCTACTCGTGAAATAGCAAAGGAAAATACAGTCTTTGAAATACAAATGACAAGTTTCTACATGTAAAATACAAAAAGAAAGGACATTTGTGCAAAATACAAATAGTGTGGATTTATCTATATAACACAGTTGTCAAGAATCTTTGTGTGAAACATGTGTAAAAAGGATTTCTGCGTGAAGCGTAATTAATAAAAAGCTCTGAATAAATCAGAAATAATCATGCATATGTGTACAATGTACAAATAGTGAGAATCTACCTGTAAAACAAAGTAGCAAGACACTCCATGTGAAACATAAATAGCAAGAATTTTTGCGTTGAATCACACATGGCAAGAATACATGTTTAAAACACAAGTGGCAAAAATCTCCGTGAAAAATACAAATGGCAAAGATATCTGTGTGAAATGCATGTTACAATAATTTCTATCTGGGGTACATTTAGCAAGGATCCCCATGTGAAACATGAATAACAAGGATCCCCATGTGAAACACGAATAACAAGGATCTCCATGTGAAACACGAATAACAAGGATCTCCATGAGAAACACGAATAACAAGGATCTCCATGTGAAACACGAATAACAAGAATCTCCATGTGAAACACGAATAACAAGGATCTCCATGTGAAACACGAATAACAAGGATATCCATGTGAAACACGAATAACAAGAATCTTTATGTGAAACACGAATAACAAGGATCTCCATGTGAAAAACGAATAACAAGGATCTCCATGTGAAATACAAATAACAAAGATTTTCATGTGAAACACGAATAACAAGAATCTCCATGTGAAAAACGAACAAGGATCTCCATGTGAAATACAAATAACAAAGATTTCCATGTGAAACACGAATAACAAGGATCTCCATGTGAAACACGAATAACGAGGATCTCCATGTGAAAAACGAACAAGGATCTCCATGTGAAATACAAATAACAAAGATTTTCATGTGAAACACGAATAACAAGGATCTCCATGTAAAACACGAATAACAAGGATCTCCATGTGAAACACGAATAAGAGGGATCTCCATGTGAAACACGAATAACAAGGATCTTCATGTGAAACACGAGTAACAAGGATCTCCATGTGAAACACGAATAGCAAGTTCATCATCATAACTGCACAGTCCTGAAGTCACTAATGATAGGTTCATCATTGTAAAGTCACTAATGTTAATTTCACCATCATAATTTCTCAGTCCTGAAGTTACTAATGTTAGGTCCAGTGTCACAACTGCAGCCTTGAGGTTCCTGACGTTAGGTTTACCTTTATAATTGGTCAATCTTAAAGTCATTAATGGTCGATTCAGTGTCATAATTGAACAGAGTCTTGAAGTTACTAATGACAGGTTCAGTGAAAGTAAACGAACACATCACGTAAGTACTATATTCCTTTTAATGGTTTTAATCTTTTATTTTTAGACCTTATCAAACTGTAAATGTATTTTATTGTTCTTCATCCTACTTTGTGGTATTAAATTTTAGTTGGTACCGAATGGCAGCAAACTGTCGATTCCACCTAGCTACGCCCTCAGCATGAACAGCAAAAAAGAATACTTGAAAGTAAGAAGTTTGTTTGGAAATAGTTAAAATAACTCTAGGGTAGTTTCGGATTGAAAATACAACAGAATGGAATTTGTGACTGTGAAATGTACGTAAGCTTAATTTTTAGCTCAAAGTTTTATACCCTAATGAGTGCTAGAATAGGATAACAGTTAACTTTAGAAATGATAGGACGAAGAGTGCACTTAGATAATCATTGATTATCTCACAAACCTGAAGAAAAAGTGAAACATAGAAATAGAAATATTACCTGAAGATCGAAAAAAAAACAGGAAGATTTCATAAAAACACAGTAAATACTTTATAATCACCACTATGAAAATATTTTATCTATATCATTGTTTTAGCGATTAAAGTGACCTCTAGCGACGTTCAAGTAAAATAACACAAGGTGAAAATTGTTCTCACAATCTCCAAAAATGTCGTGGAACATCTGAATCTCTTCCTGTTAGACAACAACTACAACAAAAATTAGTACGAAATTTCAAATAATTATTTCAGTTTTATATATTAAAAGTAATATCTTTGAGCGCATGTCTTCAATATCAAATATTAATGACACGCAGAAACTTTCACGATATTCGCGCACTAGAATTTTTTATAACTTGTGACAAACTTTTGGAACTAAATCACAAAAACTGTACTTTCGTTTAGCAGCAGTGAAAGATGTTCTAAAATTCATCACATATAAAGAAAAGTGTGAAACAATTAAGAAACTGTGTAACGATCTACAGCTACGTCCTTCTTATCTAACAAGAAGCTATATAATGATCTACAGCGACGTCAATCTTATCTAACAAGAAGCTATATAACGATCTACAGCTACGTCCTTCTTATCTAACAAGAAGCTATATAACGATCTACAGCTACGTCCTTCTTATGTAACAAGATGCTATATAACGATCTACAGCT